AAAAGAATCTGGTATTATTTCAAGATTCCTCCTGCTGTTTGTGGTGCGCTTCATATCAGAGATTAGGGAACCAAGAAGTTTTCTGAATCTCAGAGCTCTCTGGCTTAAGCCTTAGGGAATGAAACACTTTCTCTAGACCTTTCTGGTTTGCAGATCCCAAAGATGCACCCAGTTACAGCTTTGTTTACTAAAGAGCCAAGGACACATTTAACAAAGCTGCAGTACTGCCTCCATTATGCTCCTTTGTGCAGGCACATCAGAGGGAAGAAAATGCATGGAGGAATGTGAGGTGGACAGTGAAGGAAGGGGGGAGAGGAGGAAGAGAATAAAGTGACGGAAAAGGAAAAGGTGATAGTAAAATAGAATACAAAGTAGAAGGGGGGGGCGGGAAGAGGAGATAGAATGACCTGGAAAACAAAAGGAGAGATGGCGTTCCTGCGAATTCTGTGGATAATACTCAGCACATCTGTCTTAATGTGGTTTGATGTCCTGTCATAATGCTGACATGGTGCATCAGTGTAGGGGTTTCTAGTGCAGCATGGTAAGCTCACAAAGTGCTGTTTTACAGGTCCTCAGTAGCTTTTGGATAGTTATAATCAGGACAATAATACCAATGGAGAGGGTAATGCTGCAGGTGAGGTGAAAATAGATGAGAGAGACAGCATGTAATGAGAGACATAAATGGAGAAGACAGAAAAACCGGAAGAAAACTGAAGAAGGGACAAGAAGAGCTCCGTGAACAGACAGCTCTCCAGAAACAAGCCTTTGTTCTCTTATGGACAGTAAGTACTACTGGCAGAAATGCTCTCTCAAGTGGGAGGTGACAGGAGCTGGGAAAGCTAAACTCACTGACCTCAGACGAGAAATGGAACGTGTGTTTAGAGGGAGTAAACTAAAGCAGGGAAAGTGGAGGTTCATTACTACCTAAAAATGTGGTAGGATATGTTACAATGACCTGTGCTGGAAAGGTGTGACACTTGTTCTGCAGCACTCATCTGAGTAGGTGTAGCACAGTATACATCAACTCACAAAATGTGTCTGCTGTTTGGAAAGTCAAGATAACACTTTCCCTTCAGGGAAGCATACAGCTCAGCCACTGTTAACTGGGTACCTGCGGGGCGTTAAAAAAAAGCCCAAAGCATACAGATTTGTTCTTTGATCTATGCAAATTTTTATTGGAGAGGGAGGATGTTTTAGAAATTGAGCATTTTTTTTTCTTTTCCATTCACCATTTTCAGGGTTTTTTTTTGACTGAAATCAAATTCAGATCCTTTCTTTTCAGTCTCTTCTTTTCAGTCTGGGCTTTCTGAATTAAATGCTGCAATATTAGCTGCCTGCAGTTCCTGTGATTGGGCTCCATGGGTGGCCGGAGTAATTTTCAGACAATGGAGCTGGTTCTTTTCTCACTCACACCACTGTAACTCATTGGCTTCAGTGAAGTTACTCTGGATTCACAGTGTTGTGAAAGAAGAGTTGTGCTTGCTCTTTTATATGTTTTTTAATCTCCATGATATTTTTGCTTACATGTATAATTGATTTTCTGGGAATATATCCTGCTGCTGACAGGTAGACCTAGGATCTTCCTAAGACAGAAATAAATGTAAGTGTTTTTTAGGTCGCTGAATTAAATCCACTGCTCCTACAACACCATGTTATATAATTTCTTTCATAAACTGCTCAGGCTTTAAACATTCATTATGATCTATTCTTACTACAGTGGGTAAATTCAGACAGGTAAGTTACATCCTGTGTAAATTTAAAACCACAATTGAAAGAATCTACAAATGCTCTAAAAGTATTTTCTTTCTCACCTGTGTCTCACTTTTCAATGCAGCAACCATGATAAAGCTTCATTCTTGGCAGAAGGAGGCTCAGCTCTGGGAAAGCACGATTCTGAAATTACAGGCATACTTTGGAAAGGTTACTGTGTATTTTTCTTTCATGGTCACATCCCTCTTGCAGATTTTAGTGGGAGCAGTCATCTGACAAATTTTTACCATACTTGAAGTGCCACTCTAAAAGTAATTCCAGAAGGAGAAGGGTATGGAACAGGTGTGTGCAACTCAGCTGAGGACAGATTACTATCTTTGACTTACTTACCTTGGGCTGCCTTCTAATAACTACCCTGTTGAAACAAATCCCATCCATTTTATCCAAATTTGCTCTTCATTTATGGAATAAATGGGTCTAATGGACATGAAGCTGAAAATCGTCAATATAATCCAGAAGTTTTATTGTAATAAAGGAGATGTGAAAAGCAAACTAGGGCTCTATTTTTCTCTTACATAGTACAAATAAGATGATTCAGCAGAAGCCAACAGAATTATGCTGTTACCTGCAAATGCTACTGTGATACCTCCCCATCCTTCCTATCTTGATATGGAATATCCTGTTATTTTTTGCCTTGTGTTGCTAAATCTCTGTTCTGCAGCTCACCTTAGCAAGCCTATTGCTAATACTTCCCTTCTGTTCTGAAGCTGGACTTCAGAATTTGCAGCCGTTACTGAGGAAAGTTCTTGGTGGTTGCCATTTAGAAGGAGCAACTTTGGTTTGCAGCAGCTGAAAGGTGGTGGCTGCACATCACAAGGGAGGGAGGAAGAGGTGTATTAATTGTGAAAGCCAGATTGTGGTCAATGACCACAGTAAGTAGCACAGTTGGCTGTGCTACTCCTCTGGTGGCTCTTTATCCCACCCTCTGGCTATTCTATTTCCAGCACAGAAAATATGCACCAGTTGCGTTGTGCAAGTACAGTAAGCCTTACACTTCTAGGGCTTGCTGGAAATGCTCAAAGTAATTGTGTGGTCTGTTCATGCAACAGTTTGTAGGAGTGGTAGAGCACTCCCTCAGTTTTGTTGGCATTACATTGCCTATAGAATATGGGCCTATGGTGTTTGCTCTGAGGTCACTGGGATTGCTGGACATGGGACATCCAAGGTTGAGACTGCTGCACGTATGCAATAACATGATGAGATTATTAGATACCAAGGATCCTAGACATACACAGTTCTCAAAATCTCCCTGGTAAACAATTCTGGTTGGAAAAGGGAACAGACAATCAATCTAAGGCAACCTGAATATGGTAGTCATATCTAACCATGTCTACATGTCTCCCTTCTACTGCAATGCCTTCATGCTTCCCCATAGCTAGTTATTTTTTATTTACAAATTTTCTTTGTCAAAAGTGTGAGAGTATACTCATGCTCATGTGTAAAGCAGTTGCCAGTCAGGAATCCTCAGTGCATCACCATTCTCAGCAGCTCTCAACCCAGCACGTGTTATGGGGCTGTTGAAAGAGGCCATTGCCTCTGGTCACGATCTGCTGCGTGCTCAACAACGTGCTGATCTCAGGCCAAGGAGAGAGCAGCGGGGCAGGACAAACTCGTTTCTTTCACCCACGCAGCACTCTGGGCCAAAGGAATTCTTTGGTAGGCTGTGTGCCACACAAGCCTGATACAGAGGCTTGGGGAGAGTCTGGTTTGTCATCTAGATGCTTCCTAACCTGTAAGTGCATAATAGTGATGAGTTGTGTTGAGGCTTAGAGCTCTGATAAGTGGTCTTTGACAGAGTTACCCATTCAGTTTAAGACATTACCACTCTCAAGTGTCTATTTTTCTCTGCTGTTAGGTATTACCACACTTATGGCAGAGACTCCAGGTCACAGTCTGGCATGTTAAAAGAATGCCTACTTTCATTGTTGTACTCTGCTAGAATGATCATGACCTCAGGCAGCTGAGACAAATCACATCTTAAAACACAGCAGCTAAATCTGCCAGAGTTTGTTGTTCAGAGCCTTTGGCCTTTGCTTCTTAACCAAGAGAGGAAAGAGTCCTTGCCAGTGCCTGCAGGCCCGAGGACAACCATTCATGCCTTTACTGCCACCCCAGAAGTCCACTGCTGGTCCATATGGAGTACTGGTGTCACAGCTGTTACAACTTAAAAGAGCAAGGAGAATGTGTAAAGAAACTTCGAAGTCACTGATACTGTCTTAAGCAAAATGTGAGGGCTGTTCTTCGAAGGTGAATTAATGATGAAAATTTTTTTTGGAATTTTTATGGTTTGTGTAATTTTGAAAGTGATTTATGATCCTACCACGGAGCTCTTAGGATTTAGTGGCTGTTCTGATTCACTAAAAATTGAAGATGTAGTAGAAAATAGGTTGAAATACTAGTTTATATCAGGAATTATATGACATCAAAGTAAAACACGAGGTTTTAATTTTAATTTCACTAAGAAACTAAGTGATTGTGCTGATATGGTATTGCTGTCTTTATTTGTCCATCTGTTTTTGAAATGGAAGGAGATTGGAAGCAGGAACGGGATCCCTTCACTTGTCTGAGGATGTCTCGTAAAATTTTGCTAACAAAAATCAATTCAAAAGCTGGTCAGTCATAAGACACAAGTCCACAGAAAATCAAACTTCAGAAGTTGTGATGTTTACACAAACAGCTGGCAGTTGGTTCATGCCCAGCAATGGATGGATTACGCCAAGCTGGCTGGAAACAGTTAGAGATGCTGGCAGTGTGCCCTGCCCACCTCCCACAGGTTCCACTTCTGCAGCAATGGCTCAATGCCTCATTAATCAGCACCTGGGTTTCTGCGTTTTGCAGATCAGTGCATTAAGGCAAGCCAACATCAGTTTCTGTTCAGGCTTAAGCCACAGCATTCCTGCTGTGGGAGATGTCTTGCAAGAGAGATCAGTGTATATAGTGGAGTAGGTGACTTGTCAGCTGCAGATTAAACTATAGGGTGAGATATATATTAATACCTTCATCATTATTTTGTTAGAGGAGAATTTTTAATTTATTGATTAGAAATCATTAATGGAAATGTAAAGTTGAGATGGTTTAGGATGTGGACGATAGCAGAAGAATGCCAAGAGGAACAGTCATGACCACGACATTTTCTAGTTGATGAAAGACTGTACCTATCATATTTAATTTTGTCAGCATAAGTTTCTTTTGCTTTTTCAACATAACACCTCAAAAATGTAAAATTACAAAATAATTTGTCATAAATCACAGTACTGAATTTAGTAAATAGCAAATCCCGGCAATACCTATTCTCTCTCTAGTGGGTGTGATCCCCACGGCTCTGTGCTGTGCAGGGCTCCCAAGGAGTGCATAAATCGATTCCTAGGGCACGAACGGTCGCATCAGCATTTCCCCCGTGGCATATTTCAGGCAACCGGGCTGTGTAAGTGAAAGACAGTGACTCAAATGTTGTTGGCAGGTGAGGTGCTATGCCTGCCTGGCCTTACCCTGCCCCAGCACAAACCCCGTGTACACCGAGCAGCGCTCAGGGCCCCGTGCGCCCACGGTGGCAGCTGGCGGGGGCGGCCGGCGGGGCCCGCAGCCCGTGCGGGCGGTCCGGGCCGTGCGCTGTCCCCGCGGCTGCGCTCGGGCCGCGCTCAGGAGCGGCGGGACGCTCCGGGCCCTTCCCTGCGCTACCGAGCCCCGCTCTGCGCGGCCCCTCACGGGGGCGGCTGCGAGAGGGGGCGGCCGCCTCCAGCGGGGCGGGCGGGAGGAGGGTCCGGGGAAGCCGCGGCCCCTCGGCGGCGGCGGCGAGGGGAGCGCGGCGGCAGGTGGCGGCGGCGGCTCGGCCCCTTTAAGGCTTCGGCTGCCGTAACCCGATCCCCCCCGGAGCATCCTGCGCCCGGGAAGGGCCGTCCCGTCCCCGACGCCGCGGGGAAGGCATGGAGGAGGAGGAGGCGGCGCCGCAGCCCCCGTAGCCCCGCTCCCAGGTGCGGCGGGCGGGGAGGGAAGGCGGTGGGGCGCTGAGAGGCCGGGGCTGGCGGGGCGGGGGCGGTGCGGCCCCTTTCCCCCGCCCCGCGGGGCTGCGCTGAGCGGAGCGGCCCCTTCCCTCCCTCAGCGCGGGGCGCGCTGACAGCGCAGGGCTGCGCGGGGCCGCCTCCTCCCGCCGCCGCGGCAGCGCCTGGCCGCGGCCGGAGCGAGCCCGGCGGGTGCGCGCTGCCTGCGCTCTCCTGCCCGCTCCTGCCCGCTCCCTCCGTGCTCCCTCCGTGCTCCTGCCCGCCCGCCCGGCGGGCGCCGCGGGTGACCGGCACGCCGAGGTAATGCCCGGCTCGGGGCAGCGTCCCTCGGGGTCAGCCTGGGGCCTCCGCGCCCCCCGGACTCCCTCTCGGGGCTTCGCGACTCCAGACTGCCTGCGGGGTTTGGGGAAATTCGGTAAATGGGATCGCTGCAGCCACCTCGCCCTCAGTACCCTGACATTATAAGAAGCGTGCTTTATCTGCTGGGTGCTTTGGTGTTCTAAGAGCAGAAAGCTGAGTGGAGTTTAGGATGTGAATAGCCTTAAATAGAAAAGGGAACGGCTTAAGTGTGAGTAGCTTGAATTTTATTGTGTTTCTGCTTAGCGCTGCTTACTGAGCTAAGTAAGATATCAAACCAATAGGAGCTACCATTCAGAACCAAGAGCACAGCAAAGCTCCAGCACTGCAGATGTTTTATTACTGGGCTTATTATAAAATGTGGAAACAGTCAGTAGTCCAGTGTTGCTCTCTGCAGACTGGTCTGCCAAGTTTTACAGCTATTGGATTTGGCTTTCAGTTTTAAGCGGATCAGGAGAGCACAGTACTTCATGCGATGTCCTGCTATCAGTAGCAGCTTTACGGTGTAATCTTGTTTGGAAATTGATCCAATTTATCTTGAAATCCAGCCTCAAAGAAAGTAAGGACTGTGGGCCTTAAACCTTGCACTGCACCTTCTTACCATGTATTGTGGCTATACTGTTATATGTCTTATTTTTATGATGTGAAAAATTGATGAGGGGAAGGTAAATGCTAAGTGCTTTTGATGGTACAACACTTGATAACTTTCCTGCTCCTTTATCCTCTTTCATTCAATGCCAACTTGTTTCTATCAGGTGTTCATAGTGTTATCATATTGGGGGTGAATAGATATTGTTTTTTCTTCTAAATTTCACGTAGAAACAGAATTGCAGGAAAACCACTGCAAGTTAATAGCAAATTAAAACGAACATATTTTTAGCTCTTGCGGAGTATGATGAAAAAACTTGTGTTATTAGCCTTCTCAAAGTTGTTGGGTCAACAGAGTAATTTGAAATCACACTAGGCATGTAAGCAACACCTTGCTGAAAAATGTTGGTTTCAAGTATTTGGTAATATTTGTTTACCTAAAGACTCCATTGAACAGCTGCAAGAGTGAAGTTCTGATCATATGTGGTTATTGTCTAACTGAATGGTTAAGACAGTAATTTTGGGTAAGCGAGACAAATGCTAACGGTGAGGAACCAACCTGTATATTGTACTGTTTTTTCTGCGTTACAAAGTAGTTACTCTAAACCTGCTCCCCACCCAGCCTCCCATTAGCTCAAACCCCGTATCAGCTGACAGAACAGTAATCAATGACTATGCAGTTTGGGTGATAAAGTGTCTGCTCATACATAATCCACAGAGTTCTGTATCTTGATCAGACTTTGCTATACAGCTGCAAGAAGATACTTGGGAAGAAAACCCCACGGTGTAGTTGAAGTTGCCTGGCTTACTAACTTTGGCCTCTGTCAAGGAAAATTGTGATCAGAAGCTAATTGTTCTTGTTTTAAGTCAACAGGCATAATGCAACAAGCTGGTTAGGTTAGCAACATGAATAATTTTTCTTGTAAATGAAAAGAAGATCTGGTAAAAACCAGTATATTTTCATGTTAAACAGGATGCAGTTGATAACAACCTAGAGATATGAGAAAATAACAACCTATAGATATGAGATAATGTTCATAGCTGAATGTGAAATGCTGTATTTACACGTGGCCCTTGAGTTGAATTAAAAAATGACACTATTAATTGCTGAGGAAAAAGATAAAATTATTCTGGACTTGGTAGTTACTATACTTAAACAGCATCTTGATAAGCATATGAAATCAGGCTTGCAAAACTTGAGCATCTGTGAGACCAAACAGAGGCTTAGTGATTAATTTTTTGTCTGTCTTCTCTAAAACCATCATACCTTTCTCCTTCATGAGCATCATGGTTCTGCATTTGCTGAAAGTCAGGTCATGCACTTTCCAGGATAGTACCTTTTTTAAAAATGAGTTCCCTCCACTGGCTCCTTAGGAGACAGATTAGTCTTCTAATGCATTTCTTTCAAGGAATGCTTGCAAGGTTTGTTTAATTCCATAATCTGTACTAAGATGAACACCTGTCAAAAGTTAAACTTTACTTACCTATTATAATGTTCTGGTACTAAGAAGACAAAACAAAACATGGTTTTCTCTTGTCCAAGAGATTGTCAGTGTCTTTGAAACACAGAGATACTGGTGGTCACTGCAGGTGAATTAAGTGTAGCATCATGAGAATTGCTGTATTTTAATCAAAAGGATGAAGTAGGTGTGGTTAATTCTCAGTGGTTTTACTATTTTTCTGAAGAGAATTGTACTTAACCTGGATTTTGGCTTCCTTTATTAATTAACCCAACTGATTTTTTTTTTCCTTATGCGGTCCAAGAGAAGATTTGATTGCTACAAATGAGATAATGTAATAACAAAGTTTCATCCTTGGCGTTAGAACCTGGAACTGGACACTGTGCAGTGCTTCTCAGTGGGTTTAAACTGATAGATACTAAATAGTTTTATTCCTTCAAATGGTAAGGTTTTAGAAAATTGAACTTAATACCCATTGTCTCTGGTACTTTATGTGAAAAGGATATAAAGTTTGGTTTGTGTTTTGTATCTTCTTGGTCAGTGGAGGCAAATGGAGGAGTATGTGGAGAATTGAGAATACCGAATATTCAGGATTATAATTGAACTTGGAAGTTTTGGTAGAGTAACATTAAAAAGTATGCAGTACTTATATGCTGCTGCACTAGAACAAGTCATCAGAAAACAACTGGAATCAAATTAATTTGATGCCATGTACTGCAGAGTGTGTACATAAAAGTTTAGTTTGGAATAAAAATGCATTTATGAACTCAATCTTCTGATCACCCCCTGTGATTTGTGTTGTGTAGCTGTCCCAGAGCATGCAAGCTGGATTTCTTTTGGGTTCAGGTGGGCGGGAAGATAAGCCCTAGGAGCACATCAAGTATGTTCCAAGAATTGTGCAGTCCCTAGGACAGAATTAAAGCTGGTCTGAAGTAAGCACATGATAGAGGCAGGTTTCACTCAGCAAATCTGCTCTTATTTGTCCTGTATTCTGTTTTTATACATGTAGTACTGTGGGTACTAGTCAGAGGAAGTTTTATTGTCTTCAGTTCTGGCAGAATAAATAGAAAAGAAAGAGGTAGAGGAGGAAAAGTTTGAGACCATTGAACCTTCTGCTTCTAAGTCTTTGAAGATGAAAGTTTATTTTTTCTGATCTGCGTGTTTCAATATACTCACTATTTACACCCCAAAATGAGACTATTGTATTTAATTTTAAAAAAAGTTATTATTTTCTTATTATGGTGGACTTTTTCCTCTATTTTTTCCTCCTGAAGTTCAAGTTTCTTACCATCTGCAATGCAGATACAATTTCAAAAATCTAAGGCATGTTCACTCATTCTGTAACGCATGTGAAATAAAGGTGGACATAAATGTATTATATCATTGTATCACTTTTGCTGACCATAAAGTTGCTGTAGAAACATCAAATTATGCTGTCCTAAAAGTCTTCATTTTATTTTTAGATATTTTCTTAAGTAAAACTAAAATAAGTAACAGCAGATTTTTTATAGGTATTTAAATAATTATTTAAATTTTTGAAATGAAGCCATTTGGTTTTTTTCCCGTTTCCAGTTCAACTTAATATAAATTGACTTTTTTTGAGTTTGTAACTTTTGCTAGTGTTGGAGTGTAAACCACTTCACTGTCAAATTGGAGATGCATGTCAGAAGTTTGTGGCTTCTGGGGAAATATCATTCTGTGCTGCAGATACTAGCAACTCAGGAAAAATGACAGAAGCATTTAGAGATGGACACTTATGTTTGGAATTGTTTTGGTATTTAGACCTCATGAAATAGCTGAACATCTAGAAACTGAGAAGCCAATCAGCTCTAACGAGAGGAGACTTTCCCCTGAGTGTGAAAATGTGCCAAGGTTAGAGTTTTGTGAAGGAAGGAAGCTCGAATGCGATAGCCTGACTGACACAGGGACCAGCTCTGACTGAGCACGGTGTGAATTGACAGCTGCTGGCTCTGGAAAGTGTACAGAGCTGCAGTGAGGCTACTGCTGCTCTGGGCTGACCCAAAAACCTCTTTTCTGTGCTTACCTGATTCCATTGTTGCGTTTTAAAATCCTGTTGGCAGCAGTCAGTCTGACAATAATGAAACAAGTTTTACCTTTGGAGGTTCTTGGGATGGGAGTGGAGGCTACAGACCTGGTGGTTGCTCTGGCCAGTGGTCTTCACTGTCCTTTCTGTGTAGATAAAATACATACCATTTTGGGCCACAAGAATATATAATATGCAAATGTTAAAAACCAAAATGCAACTCGTGTATCTAAAAGTTTGGGCATACCTTTATACTGTTAATGCTTAAGTAGAAACATTGAACAGGTAGAAGTTTTTAGTGGATAATATTTCTGTTAATAAGTTTGCTGTCAAAAACACTTTCTGTGTTTGCTTAAAATAGTTAAATAGAGAATAGAGTGAAATTACCTTTTGCTTCTCTTCACAGGCTGAAGAACAATGGCTTCCTTCAGCAACCTGACTATTGGCATTGCTGTTGCCAGTTTTACTGTATTTCAGCTCCTGTTCCACGTTTTAAGTTCCTGGGTGTCAACACGAATAACACGTGGTTTTAAGAATCTCAGCCAAAAAAGGAAGATTGAATGGAATTCAAGGTAGAGTGTTCAAAACAACAACAATTATGACCTACCTGATATCTTGGATACCTGAACCGCCTGTGTGTGTATGTGTAAGACTGAAGAAAACCCTGTTAGTTAAATGTTTGTAAGTATCAGAGACCTGCCTCTAGGCACGGCAAAAAGAATGCATTTGAAATTTTGAGGCCCTTTCATGGAAACATGGTATTACCAACACTTCTACATTGAATACTTTGTTAGACAGTGATGCCCAAGTGAAGACAAGTACAAAAATAAAACAGTGACTGGTGAGAGGTAATAAACTCAAGGGATGCTCTGCGATGCTTCTAGTAAAGAGAAGAGAGAAAAAATTCCTTTCCAAACTTTTATGAAAATGAAAACTATTGCAATTTATTCTGAATCCCAGTCTATTTTTGGTCATGCTTTTGGAAGCAGAGCAGTTTGCTCTCTGTTCTCCTGGTGCTACTACACTACAAACTGTTTTATATAGGTTAAGGTTTTCCAAGGAATTAAATGAAACTTTGGTGTAGTGTTGAAGAGAACCAGGTTCGTGTGTGTTGTTGAGGAGGAGGACTGCAGGAGGAAGAGGGGGAAACTGTAGCACACACAGGGTACACATGCAGGAAGGAGTTGTGGAAACTCAGTCCAAAAACATTCCTCACTCCGTTTGTGCTTCTGCACTTCCATCAGTGGGATGGATCCACCTGCATTTCACTTGTCTCCTCAGATACAGGACTTCTAGAAACTTGTATGAACCGTGAGTCTTTAAGCCATAAAGGAAGTATAAGACAGTAATTGAAAATGGTGATCAATGAGGTTTTATTTGGAGCATACTACTCTGAAATGGTGTATATAGTACACAAGGTTCACAGTTGAAATTAATTGATACAGTATAACTTTGAGTAGCCTATTACAACTTTAAAATATTTTTTCAGATGTTTCCCAAATTTAAAGCTCAAAATGTGTACTGTATGGTTGTCACTGCACTCAAAATGCATTAGTTGCATTTCTTTTCCTCCTCTGTGCTTTTTAGTGTCAGGTAGATACTTTTAAAGTTGTTTCCATTGTTCTAGGCAGCCTTAGCAACTCAAATAGCCTTGCCCTTCCATTTGGCAGATATCCACTTGCAGTGTTCTTAAAGGCACCATCTTGATTTCAGTTCCATCTTTGAAGATTACCTATCTGCCAGAACAACTGTGCAGGATGCCAGTTCACAGTATCAGTGCCACTTAGGTTTATATCTCTGTTACAATTAACAATAGAGGTAGACAGGGAAAGTGAACTAAACTGTTTCCATGTGAAGCTGAATTATTGTCTGTAAGCCACATCAAATGGCCTTTAATTGCATAATAGGCTTTATGAGAACTTACCCCATGCCTGGTAGTGCTATGCTGGTATAGTGCTTTGCATAATAACATGAATTGTTTTGCACATCACAAGCGTGCTGGAAATACGCTGCTCCATAATCTCTGGGCTACTTTGTAATAAGGTGTTTAACTGCTCAACTTGATACAGTACCCCAGACTATGTCCTTTTTTACCTCTTTGCACATTGTTTTTCTTTGGGGTTGATAGCAGGATGTAGATGTTAGCACACAGATAGGTTGAGATCCTGAGCTTCATCCAGTTCAGGAATTAGAAGTCATGAAACACAAAGCATGGTTCATCAGCATCTTGTGGATTTTTATAACTGAGGAGGGCAAGAAAGGCTAGCTGTGCTTGTGTTACTTCAGCTCTGCTAACCAAACACAGTGTTTTGTCACACTGCCCTGTCACTCTAGTATTTCAGCAAAATGAAGAGAGGCCTCAAGGAGTATCTTGCAAATTCAGAGAATGCAGATGAGTATGTATTTATTCTGCAGAGAGCTCTGCAGGTAGAGACAGTTACTATGTCCCAGTAAAATCAGTTGGTTTCATTTAAATTATTTAAAAGTAAATGGCTGTTATTTTGTCCTATATTGAGCTGGTGTAGGGAGTGCACACACAATTATTCTGTTGGCAGTGCTAGGGAAACTGGCACAGAGGATGGTTATGCATTTTTATCAGCTCAGCTGGGTCTGGAAGAGGGCATCTGTCTCAAATGAGCTGTAGCATTGAAAATATATTGTTACAGTTTGGAGGGCTTTGTAATCAAGCATTTGAGCTGCAGCTCTTGACTGTATTTTCCATGCTGTCAGTTTGTTCATTCTGACCTTCCAAGAATTATGAACCAATAAAGTAATTGCTTCTGGCATCTAAAGTATGTGGACACTCAAATTGAGTTAAAAACTATATTTGGTCACAGATGTAGTATAACTCTTCAAGTTGTTGTGCATATATTCCTGTCACCTCTCCTATAATACATGCTTTTACTGCTATTTAGTTGTTGTGGAGAAAAAAATACATTCAGTAATAAAGGAGCAAGTCTGCAACCTAGCATTGCAACTTTTTTTGTTTGCAGCTTAGTAAGGAGTTAAAGGATGCAAGCTTTGAAAAAAATTTTAAGGAAATGCACAGAGCTTGATAGCTTGACCTAGATTCCTTATTAAAATGGACTGTTGTACTATTTCCCTTCTGCCCCACCTTCTATGGAGAAGCTTCAAAGTCCAGAACTAAGGAAGAAATCTGCTGCTTTTTCTTTCCTTTTTTTTTCTTTTATTTCACCCCCATTAATTGCTCTGCTTGTGTATAGCTTGTATACTAAATACTAAGGTTCAGATAAACAGCCTCTTCAAAGACAAATTGCAACTGTAAACTAATGAGTTATATTTTAGGACAAATTTTCCTTCTTTCAGCTTTATCCTCTCCTCAAGTTCAAAAATTCCAGGTATTTCTTAAACACTAATATTGCATGCTGTGCTTTGTTTTTAAAAAGAAAGAAAAGTTCCTATCATCTTTAATCATGTGTTACAAGAGTAGACCTTTTAATTAAACTATTAATTATCATTAAAATTTGGATAATTATATTTTCTTTCTTTGTTAAAAGAAGAGAGGGCAGAAGTGCAGCCTGTGCTGTAATGATTATTAATTGTTCTCATCCAGTTTTTGACTACTCATATTATACTAATCTTCATTCGTTTTCTGGAACACTATTGAAAAAGCTGCTGAAAATAGCACAGTGACACTCTTGAAACAAATTGTAAATATAGTCTCTTTTATGAAAAGTTACAGAATTTTCTACTGCCAATAGATAATAGTATAACTTCTGGAAATGGAGTAGGGATTATAACCTCTTTCTTTGCAAAGTCTTCTGCAGGAAGCAAGATGTTTTCTTCAAATCTTGCATGGCAGAGCTTAGACTCCTGAGAGTGCCTTAAGGATATCTAAAATATTAATGACTTCCAAATACATGTATTCAATATGTACAAAGACAAGAATAATAACTAACAGCATCTGTGCATTTGTGTATATATTGTTGGTGCTGTGAATATGGTATGAAGTGTTTCCAATCATACAGCACTGAACTTCTCATCAAACAGTATCTGTGATTCTCTATGGATATTTTTTTCACATAATTTTTTTCTGTCTAGTTATGCTTGCAAAGTGGGAAAGCGGACAGTAGCTACACAGCATTAGGTGCAGTTTATAGTTGTGTTAAATCCATGGCTAGAGCAGGAAGGTTACACATTTTGGATCCATGCCTATTGCATTGTTCTACCTTCCAAGAATACATGTGGACTGAAAGGGCAGGAATGGCCCTGGCAGAAACCCTGCTGGGGCTTCTGTAAATAGATATTTCTCTGTAAGTGCATGCTTGTTAAGATGTAGAGTTTATCTACACTGTGCATGCAGCCTATAAACTGTTGTATTTGGGGAAAAAATGTGTCTAGTACCCAGGTAGGAATAAGGCAACGTTGATTACTGTGACTTTTATTTTTTATTTCCCTTGTTTGATACAAATCTGCTAATTGATATAAACCTGTAGCTATTATACCTTAGCTACTCAGCTGCAACCTCTTGTATAGCAAGTTTTCTGTTTGAAAACCAGAATCTACTTCAAATGCATTAGAAATTCTACCTGAAGCTTAGGACTTCTCATTTAGTGCCACCTTCCAAACCCAAACTAGACTTATTATGGGTCTTTTAATTTGGTGCCTGAAAGGAGAAACTTGCTGTTGCAGGATTCCTGTGCTTCTATGACTATGAAAATGTGTACACATTTTCCAGCAAATAAGACAATACAGAAAACATTTGTTAGAGAGCTAGGTGTTGTACTGTCTTTAAGGATACATTAATATATGGGATAACTGGAGGAAAATTTAGATCTATTACTTTTAAGACTCTACTTTGTATCTAATATTGTCAATCTCACTCCAATCTAATAGAGTCCTTCTTTTTGATTGTTTTTTCCTGCCTGTCATTATGTAAGTGGTTGGACGTAGCATAGAGAACAGATGATTGTCTTCCACGGAAGTATCTGGATGCAGTTGAGAATGCCTTTGGAATCCTAGCTTAAGCACAGTATGAGAAGTTGTGAATGGCAGTGCCTCCTTGTGACTGTGTTCTCTTTTTCAGGACAGTGTCCACATTCCACGCCTTGGTGGTTGGAGGCTTTTGCCTGTATATTTTATTGTACGATGATGCTGTCAATGCTGACCCTCTCTGGTAAGGCATGTTACATTTATGTTGTGGTTGCACAATAAAATAACTTGAGAAGGAAAAAAAATCCTGCAGTGTATTAAGTACTGAATGATTTAGTTCCCATTAAAATACACAGTTGTGATGTGTTCATTTTTATGTCTGTACTGCTTGAAAATTTGATAACTATTGTGTCAGTATTAATGGCTTAGTTCAATGTATCTCTGTGAAGTGGAATAGATAAAATACAAGCAATTGATTTAAAATAGCATATTAAATTACTAAAGAATAAACTGTAACTATCAGTCATACTGAAACTCTACTGTTTACAGTAATAATTTTAAAGTGAAATTGAAAAGCTGTAGCAGATCTGAATAGTGAAAGTTCTCCATATATCTGTGTGAAAGTTCTCCATTGAACCCTGCAAAGGGTTTGGGTTCAGTGGAGAGAGAATGTGGTATTGCTGTCAGGTAATAACTGAAAATAGATACAATAGATCCTAACAAAGACTGGAGCATTGGTAAGCTCCAGGGAAGCATCAGCTCACAATGTGTGTGACATTTTTTGGTGGTCTAGGACTTCTCATCAAAATTTTCCTTTTTTTCTATATGTATGTACTAGAGACTAACATAGATGATGTAGAAATTGTTTTTGTGGTGGTGAGAATCACATGGTAGAAAATGTGGAGGTGGTAGAGATCAGATAAGGAGAGGGAGAAGACGTAAATAAGTGGATTAAGTTGTAGCTTCACAGGAGAACAGGCTCTTTCCTATGACTATTCACAGTCATTACAGTTTTTCAAGTTTGATTAGCATTTTATATGACTCTGTATCTGCAAAGAAGTTTGAAGAAAGTCAGTCATATGGACTTTACTCTGTCCTATCTGCCTGTTCATGTGTCATTGATTTGCCACACATACCTCCTTAGCAATCACCAAAGAGATAGTTCTTCCCATTTGCTTATTCAAGTCACTCCCTGTTTGTCACTCTGGGCTCTTGCTTGCATCAAAGCTGGCCTGCAAACATCAGGGCTCATTAATTCCATGCACCTTCCATTCAAGGAGATAGTGTAAAATCTAGATTTCCTGACCTAAATTCTAAGTTCTCCATTTGTTGACAATAATTTGAGAAAAATAATTCTAATATGGACTCTTCTTGAAGGGATGTGACAGATGGAGTGTGCAGCCATATATGTTGTTGAAGTGTTGGTTTAGAAAGCCTAGGGCAGGTTTGATGCAAAGTGACCATTCTCTAGGGGGAAAAAAAAGAAGGGAAGTGAACCATTCCCTGTTCCATCCAGTTAAGTCATGTCAATAACCATTATCAAGGAACCAGTTTCATATACTTAGTCATTTGCATGTTCTCTGGAGAATATGAAGGCTCTTGAGTGCAGGCTTAGTTTTGGTGGTGATATGCTGGTGTGTTGGGACCCTGTAGAAGTTTAGTTATGATGCTGCTGCAGCTGGGAGCTCTCACATGAGGGCTCTATGTGAAGAGTTTCTGCTAAAGTTATGAGAACATATCTGTCTATACTCTATGTCTAAACCTAAAGAAACACTCAGCCCACAACATATGTAGCTTATGAAATCAAGTTTTGAAGCCATGGAAAAATGTTCTCATTTCAAGGTGTATTTAAAAGAACTTCTATGGCCAATATTAGGAGATGGAGTGAATTCCAGACTTTCCCAGTAATGACTTTTCTTCATCTAACAGCAGAATTCTGGTTTTGTGAGTCCTATTTTCCTGTAAACTACCCTCTCACTGAGGGGAACAGTTAGTTTTAGACACTAAGAAAGCTTTACAATTTAGTGATCAGATTGTAATAATACAGGAAATCTCTCCACTGCTCCATTCCAATAGGATTAAGACAAAATAGTTAAATAATAGCATTTTACTGTGTTCTGGCTGAGGCACACTTTGTATTGGAGTTGGCTGTAAGCACAGTTAGGTGCCTTTTGTCTGGAAAGGTTTATAACAAGGATTGCTTTCACAGCTTGTCTTGAGCAGTCGACATTTTATGGATCTGTTGACCTCTCACTTGAAGCTCAATTCATATTTACACAAAACATAGCTAGATTAGTTGCACAACTTAATTTAAAAATTAAGTTACAATCCTTATGCCAAGGAAAAAAGACTTGCTTATCAAATTCCTCAAAGTAGGAATGCACAGAGCACAGTGGAGGGAAGAACAAACATTGTTTGCTGTAATGTGGATGCTTCCCTTCCTTGAGCTGTATTCACAGGTTTGGGTTTGCTAACATTCTAGAGGAACTGAAGTTGTGTTTGTGCTACTAAGAGTTTTGCCTGTTGGATGTTTGGCACCAAAAGGGAAGGGATAGAAGGTGTGGAAACTACTCTGAAAAGCATTTCTGCTCAAAGCTTCTTTGGCTCCAGAGAACTGGCAAATTATTCCTTTCCTGTGTCCTTCTACTTTGTTTATCCCTGTAAACATCCATCTGATTATGAATATGAAAAGCACCAGCTGAGCAAGATATTTTTGTCATCCTTACCAAAGTTCTAGCACTGGCAGAAAACAAAAATGGAGACACAGAGTGTCAGTTAAAGGGCTAAGAGACAGCCACTGGGCTGTTCTCTTTTATCCTCCATTTTCCTGAGAAGCTAGCTTGGAAGTCTTGCTGGGTTTCAGTTCAAATCTCCAGCAAGGCTCTTGGGGCAGTTTCTATGCCAAGGCAGGGGTTGATCCTGATTAGGATACTTAGTAGGTGTCTTGTATCTGGGTGGAAAAGGAATCCACTTTTATGATTAGGAACCCTTCTTAACTAGATTGCATAAGCTCTTACTGATGAGCCAAGAATAATGTGTCCTGATGGGCATTGTGTTTGAGATGTGTATGTCCTTTGCAAATTAGGCTGTAACTACGTATTTTTGATATGTTTACAGGGGTGACCCTTCAATTGTGAAGCTGAATATTGCTATTACCACAGGCTACCTCATTTCTGGTAATTATGCAACATGTATATAACATGCATGACCTGTTTATTTATATTGAGTCACTATACCTGTGTGTTTATCCTGAGCCACTGTGATGAAGATGTGATATGTGCATGCAATACAGTTTCTACTGTGGCTTTTAAAATTGCTAATGGATTTGTGGGTTGAGGTGCAATCACAGGATCTTGCTAGCAGATGTGAAAGATGGAATATCTCCCCAAGCCCTGGGGAAATGCCACTGTGTGGCTTTGTCATGGTTTGATGTGCAAGCACCAGCTCCAGCTCAGTTTTGTCCTTTGGCCAGCTGAGAAGGTGGTAGAGCAGTGCCCTTCACTGTCTTCACAGTGCCTACAACTCATAACTCTTCTATCATGTGTTTCTTCCTGTGACCTAAGAATGCTGGCAGCAGAATTTTAGTAACCCTCAGTACAAGCTGAGGCAAATGATGCCATAGGATCCTGCCTGGCCATCTTTTAGTCTCACTTGAAGCCAAAATTCAGTCATGTATAAAACATGGGAATTTTTAGTTATTTACTTTGTATATTATTTATTCCTACGTCTGTTTTATGTTCTTAATTTTGCTGTCAACTAAAGTTAGCATGAGAATTTTGCTACAAAATGCTTTGGGGCTTTCTTTTATGTTGTGTGAGGATAATACTGGCTTATCAAAGCAAAAACTTGTGACTTGGACTAGTTTTGGTGAAAACTGCTCATGATAGGATAAAGTCTCTGACTGGGCCACAGACTTGGTTATCTCATGCTAGATTTCTCGAGCCAGTGGAAGTGATAATCTGGTGATCAGCATACTCTGTGTTAAACTGTGCATTACTTTGTGTCTGGGTTTTTTCTTCGCTTCAACTGCCATGTTTAAATTAATCAGTATCTATTTTTGAATAATTATACATTAAACTTTCATTATGAATTAATGAATGCCTTTGAACAGGCGTCTCAACCTGACCACTCATTCTCTCTCACTTCCCTATATAGTTGATGTTTAATTATTAATAGGAAGTGAGCAGCTATGTCAGATGATGTAGAGCCTTGCGTGCGGATAGCTAATATTAAAGAGAGCAAGGCACACACTGGACTTAATAAAGGCATTGGGGTAAAGTCTTTGATTTAGAACCTTGGTCAATAATATTCTTGTCCAAAGTACTTATTTGCAGAAAGTAGGTGCAGAAATTGCTTGATCTAGTACAGAGAACAAAATCTTCTGAATTGTCAGACCATCATGGGAGAAGAAATATGTTTTTGTAGGTTTTTTTGTTTGTTTGTTTATTTTATTTTAAAGCTTTCTTTTTAACCCTAACTTGGATCTGCTATGTCACTTTTGCAGTAATTTGAACATTGGGATTTAATAAAGCAAATATGCTTCTTATTCCAAATAACTCTTGCAAAGTATTTTTGGTGAATGGTTCCAAATTTGCTAGCATACATTTCTTTTTGATTCAGAGGTTCTTTGTAATAGAGCCCTGCATTTGTTGCATGTATTTGTATGTTTGCTATGCCCCCTAGAGACCTGCCTTTTTTTTTCTTTCTTTTTTATGTAATTTGTTCCAGATTTTTGGAATTGTGTGAAGTCACTATGAGATTCAGGATCCACCTTTTCCTTCCAAAATACTTCAGCTAAAGTTATTGCATCTGTATTTCTACTCATGTGGAAAGTAATAATATATAGAAATTGTTGGGAGAATACTGTTTCTTAATGCTTTGACTGAAGTAAAGGCTTTAGGATAAACATGTTCACTTCAGAGATCATTAATACAGAGGGTTTCTACTGATGCCGTATCTTGTATATGTCTAAAACTCAGAGAAACTATTCTGAGGTCAATGATTGTATAATAAATAGTTCTTTATAGTTATTTCTGTTCTCTTGTAGATCTGTTGCTTATTATTTTCTACTGGAAGGCAATTGGTGACAAATTTTTTGTAATACATCACTTGGCAGCTCTGTATGCTTACTATTTTGTACTGGTAAGTGCTGTATTTTCTTGTAACAGAAGCAGATGAGATTAAAGAAACAACTTTTATAGAGTTCGCTTAATGTTGAACAAAATTTTCACTGATTAGTGAAAAGCATGCTTATACTTTGAATCATTATTTTTAAATGTTTTTATCAGTTATTTGTGGTAAGTGCATGCCTTTTCAATGTTACGCTCCAACAGAAATGTGTAACTTTGTTGTCCTTAAAAACCTTTCTCAGGTTTTGCTGTAAAAGACTTTGACAGAAAGGCTTTTCATATGATTGTAGAACAGGGTTTTAAATAAAACCACAAGCTTGAATATTTAGTTGAAAAGTTAGAAGGAAATGGTTTCAAGTGGTTATGTTCTGCTTCTGTCTCCCAGGTAACAAGTGACAGGATGAGGGGAAATGGCCACAAGCTGTGCCAGGGGAGCTTAAGTTTGGATAGTAGGAAGAATTTCTATATTGGAAGAGTGGTCAGGCAAGTGTTCAGGGAAGTGGTGGAATCACCATCCCTGAAAGTTTAAAAGGCATGTAGATGTGGCACTTGGAGATATGGTTTAGTGGTGAGCACACAGAGCACAGTTAATGATTAGACTTGATGTTGAAGGTTTGTTCCAACCTTTATGATGTTTTCCCTGCCTAATGTGTGAATCCCAGGCTTTTGATATTAAATGTGTTGAGATGTCAGAGTTCCCATGTAATGGTTTAAAGGGGCTGAAGTACACTGACAAGTGAATACTCTGTTTCTGGTTAAAGATAATTAAATTTACTAATATTATCATGGATGAAAGTTAATTAGAGCTGAATATTAGATAAATGAAAATACCGCTACCAATGCTAATCTCCAATGCAGAAAATTGATTAGTTGTTTCTGGAGGAAACAGAAAGCATAATATTAGTGTGAACTTCTTTAAAAGCATTTATTGCTATGTGGATATAGCTCTGCCTGTGGATGTCAGTGTGTTGCTCTCAGTCTATTGTCTTCAGAGAAAGTTCCCCCTAAGTATGTTATTTCCAAATTGCCTTTTGAGGATAGGAAAGAATTTGATTAAACACACAGATTTTCTATTTAGTGTTGTGCAAACTGCCATGAAAAGCTTGATGTAGTGGGTATTTGCTTGCTTGGTGGGAGAAAGAGGAATCATGATACACACTCCATAGGTTGTTCAGGAAACCTAAGGAAATTAAAAAAACCCAGTCTTGTTTAGCTCTGCATCTGCAAACTGCTGCTTACCCAGCAATTGTGTAAGTGGGTACTGTTTCCAGCACAACCAATTGATAAGGCAGATCGAAGGCTCAGCTGGAGGGAGTGTGGTGTGGATGTGCCCCATGGAGGAGCACGGCAGGCACCTGGCACGGCTGCTGGCAGGGCCAGCCCTGCCCTCTGCAGGAGGGAAGAAAGGGCTTCATGTGCCCTTCCTGCTGTCAAATAAGAGCTGAGAATTCATCTTTGCTTTGGCAAAATATGTTCCTGAAGCAACGCAGGGAGATTTTTCTTCAGCATACAGTGTTTCTGTTTGGGCTTGTTTAAACATTGAAAAATCAAAAATATTTATAATTCTTTCAGACAGTAATGTCATCATGATAATTAGTAATCTATGGCTACTTGTGAAAGTCTTCTCTAGTTTGCTTTTCATGGCCATTTAAGTAAGAAGCTACTGATTGGAGATACCTGAAGGAAAATTGCACCTTTTGTGATAAAACGTGCTTTGAAAGTGCAAGAAAGGTGGCCACAACTGGCAAAATCAGCTGGATTAAAGAAGTTGAGATGATGTATCATTCTGTGTATACTAAAGACTCAAATGACAGTTTCACATCTACATTGTTGATTTTTGTTTTGTTTTGCTAACCAGAGTGAAGGTCTGCTGGCTTATTTTGGAAACTTCCGTCTCCTAGCAGAGTTCTCCACTCCTTTTGTCAATCAGCGGTAAGTGCTTAGGGAGGTTTCTCCATTGTTCTTCTAAAATTTAATCTGCATTACTATTTCTGTCACTTAGGAAGTCTTTTTCTAGTTGTCGAATATCTGCTGAGAGGGAATTTATATATATTGAACTAAGGATTACTATATGAAAGTCTTTTTTGCTGTGAAAACATTTTACTGCTGTAGATGCAACAGTATAACTAATGTATTCATCCCCGAGTTCCTTTTCAGATTAGACCAGGCTTGGTATGAAATGCCAGCTTTTTTATGAAAATACCAAAGAAAAAATTCACAAATAAAATATTCTTTATTAACTTTTGTATATTCATTTAATTTTTATAATAAAGCCGTCTTCAACATGGATTTTTTTTCTTGGTATCATGGGTGAGGAAAAGAAGCAAGATAATATTGTCATCAGAATCCTAGAATGGAATTATACTGCCCTGTATAATTTGAAGTTTATTTTCCAATATTCCACACATAGATCAATATTAATATAAGCACATGAATATCTAGAATAATATAAATGTATTTTCTTTATTTGATTTCAAAAAATAGTTCTGCAAGTTATTTTAAGCACTTAAGTATATCTGAAATGGTTAATCTTCACATCTGTGATTAGAGAAGAAAGGGGCAGAAGCTTCTCCTGCAGAGCTCAGAGTCAGAGCCTGCCCTGACTGCTGGTTCAAGTGTATTTGCCTGATTTGCTGCTGTATCAGAGAAGGAGGCTGATAATGCCTCATAGTGCAGCAAGGGGAAAGCTGTCATTGGAGTTTCATGGTGCTGTGGGGAGGGTGGCCTCTCTCCTTACTCTGTAGCCACCAGGACACAGCTGGGGGTAGGGATTTGCCCCAGACAGATCTCACCCCAGGCGAGGGGCTTTGGTACACAGCAGGGCTGGTCTTCCTCCATTTTTTTGCAAGGTAGGATGAGAACTTCCAGCGTTTCACATGCCTTCATGCGTTTTGGAGTGTATTTCTGCTTTACTGCTTCTGCATGTGTGGCATCTGTTTTCTTTTCCAGATGTCTG